TAGAAGCCTTTGTCTTAGAGTTTTGAGGACTACTACCTTTGAGCCTGGACATTTTTTTTTTTAAACTCCTTCTCTACCCCTTTTTTCCTCCACCTTCAACAGATTTTATTTCCTTTTGTATCTGGAATCTAGTGGGAGGTTAGTCATTCTCCATTCCTTCCAATTCTCCTCTTGGATGAAGGAGAGGGCTCTGATCCTGAGTGTGGAAGAGCTAAGCGGAGGTATCCTTCACAGTGGACATGTCACTATGTGACTGTCCAGAATACCACCAGGCATTTCTCAGTGCAGCGTTTAACCTGTTTCACTAGCACATCTCTTGTAATTATTCGACTAAAAAGTTTTATTTCCTTCTCATACTGAGTTTGCCTCAGAGGGCTTCCTAATGCTTTGTTCTTCATCATAGGTGAAGGTGAAGGGAAGAATTCATCCTGCCACACTTTTGTGAGGCTCCTGCGGCCCTGTTTTGACCTACCTGCTTCTACAAGTATAGTTGACAAGAAGAGGCTAAGGGATTAAAGAATCACTTTTGGACAAAATATATGATACTTGTCAATATCTTTCCTAAAGCCAGCAGCTAAAGAAGAAGTCTGTAGCCCAGTGATGAGATATTAAAAAGCACTCTCACATACAAATGATTTTAACCATAATGCAGGCATAGAGATGAAACTATAATGAAGGCAGCAGTACTTCACGGATTTATTCCAAGAGAATAATCCCCCAGTATCTGAATCAGTTTGGTACCCCTTACAGCTTCTTTCTCACTCATGGGCTGTGGCTGAGACGTTCCAAAGTATCCCCCATCCTCTGCCTCATCTGTGCCGGCCTTTGTCTTACAGGAACTCTTAGCTTCTCCCTTTTCCAGCCACTCTTCAGATCCAGTTCTTAATCTCCACCCATTTCCTTGGACTTGATGCTTCAGACCTGCCCTCATTCCTGCCTTACTTGAGCCAGGAATTCTGACACCAATTCTTCCTTTTCCTGATCCCTCCCTGATCCTACTCACCATCCACCATCTCCCACTAACTCCAAACTCCAAGAACCAGCCCCAGCCAGAGCTTTCAGTTTCTTCCTTTTTAACCACCCACCCCCAACTCCATTTGTCTAGGGAGCCAGACTTGGCAGCTAACATACTTAGAGCCTCATAAAAACATGTAAGAATCTAGTGAAAAGCAGTATGGACTTTGCTGGGATTTGAAAATGTCTTTTGAGCTGGGGCACCTGAATAGCTCAGTCAGTTAGGCATCCCACTTCGGCTCAGGTCATGATCTCTTGGCTTGTGAGTTCGAGTTCCAGCCCCGTGTCGGGTTCTGTGCTGACAGCTCAGAGCCTGGAGCCTGCTTCAGATTCTGTGTCTCCCTCTCTCTCTGCCCGTCCCCTGCTTGCACTCTGTCTCTCTCTCCCTCTCTCAGAAATAAATTAGCATTAAAAAATGTCTTGAGTCATTAAAACTTATACTTTTGATTTAATAGAATGTCCTTTGCTGTTCATCCATCCATGTATCTACCTGTCCCTCTGAGCTTTGGAACATTCAATCCAGGTGCCTTGTAGTTGGAAGTTTGTAATTTTCACATTAAACAAGGAATTCTTCAGCAAAAATTGATAATAGATGCTATTCTCAAGTAAGGCACTAGATGGAGCATGTGAATTTAAAGGAAATTTAAACTGGTAGTTACTGGGGACAACCAGTCATTGAAAGAAAACTAAAAAATTTAAACCAAATTATTCTGATTAATTTCAACTAAAAATAGACAAGTATAAAAAACATAATACTTTTTATGAGTCTATGTAAAATCTAAGATGATAATTTTTAAAAAACAGATAAAAATGGAATAAATAATTTTTTCTCTTCAGTAGACCCTCCAAGCCCCATAGCCAAAGCAGGAGAATGAAGCAGCTGGCAGGTTTGGAACACTTGCTGGGGAAGGCAGAGCTAGGGCTAACAGATGGGTTTCTTCACTGGTTGAGAAAATGAAGTGGTCTTGATAGAGTGTACCTTGCATCAACATCAATTTCTAGATTGCCAGCTTCAGTTTTGGAAGCAAATAAGCCTAAGGAATTTGACTGCCAGCAAGCATGGGAAGAGGTGATACATGCCTAATCCCAGCAGGTAGAATATTTTAAAAGTTGTTTATAAAATATTATAAGGGGAAGATATTTATGAGAAACCCAGTTTTGCAGACAGCATCTACATGATTCCTGGAGATTAAATTTGTGCTAGACAGATAGACTGGCATATGGACAGGATGTAAGAGATAACAGCTTCAGTCCTGGTGGTATTACACTGTACGTATTCACCTTGAAAGTCACAGCTTTCTCTAGCATTTATTTTTTTGTGATGTGTCTGAGGTTTTGTCAGTCTGTCCAGGTTTGGTTGGCTGTAAAAATGTCATCTAGCACGAAGCTTGACATCCCTGTATGCAGTTCAGGCTGCTTTTAAGTTCAGGTCAGGAGTTACTGGAGGAAAAATAATCCCTGGGAAACTTGCCATTGATTCAGTGGTATTTCAGATTCTGATTTCCCAGTCTTCCTGTTATCATTGACTTCTCAAGAGTCACATGCACTCTGTCCAGGGTATTGAACTGCATTCGGTAGGGAGGCACAGTGGAGAGTGCTTACTCCATGTTGACTGGAACCAGAGCTGTGAATGACTTTTTAATTCCTGATTTTCTTTGATGAAGATGTATAGAATAAACCCTAACTTAGCCTATTTCATACAACTACAAGATATGGGTTTAGGAAGGAGATAAACTACCTAAATTTAATATGATGAGAATTATTTTAGAAAAAAATGTAATGTGATATTTCATTTCATGATGAACTTCAAGGGAAAAAATGCTTAGGTTTTATGTGAAGAGGATTTGGCTGGACATATGTACCCTCCTACTGTTTTATTTAGCAAGGTGGTTAGCTAGAAGCAGTCAGCAGCTCTGAGATTTAGTAAAAATTTGTATTTCAATTCAATCTGATTTCTCTTTGACATCACTAATGTGTTAGGACACAGATGAATAAACTGTTGAATAATTTTTAAAATGCTTAGGTTATGAATTTGATTGTATTAAGTAAAATTAGACTTCATATGTTTTGGATCTCTCTATGAATTAGCAGCAGAACTGGTTCTAGCCCTAGAAACAACTAATACCATGCTTCAGACACCCCTTGTTCAAGTCTCCTAATGATGAGAATTGGGAAGTAAAATTTAATAGGCAGAAAAAAAGTCAATGTTTTCCCATTTCAATTGTATTTGTAAAGTCAAGATTCAATATGTGGAGTTGTTGAATTTGCTTCTTCCTTTTTCCCTACTTCTGTGAAATGAATGTAGCAAGGGACAAAGTGCACAGTAAGATGCTCTGGTGCCTAGATGTTACCTACAGTAAAATGTTCGGTAAAGCCAGCTTCTAAGCCCTGGCAAAATAACACTGTGTCCTATGAAGCTGTGATGATGGTGAGCATAAAAGGTGAGATGAAGTACCATGCAGTTTTGCTTCTCTGCTCCTGAAATGATAGTATCTGGGAGGCATTTTCATGTGACTTTGTTTAGTTATTGGTATTCCAAGTAATATGTAGAGTTGTGCAAATTGTTGATTCCAGATTTTGATAAGGTTGTAAGAATAGTGCTTGGTACGTTTTTCCAACTCTTTTGCATTTTTGTTTCAGTGACTGTATTGTTTTCACAGCCACCCCCTCCCCCCTCCCCCCAGAGATAGGTAGACCGATCATGAGAGATTCTATTTATAGATGAAGAAAACTGAGATGCTGGCCATTAAGGGAATTGCTGAGTGACCCACAGAATACCCCTCAGAACACTGAAATTTGGATCCAGAGCTTTTAACTTCTAAGCTGATGCTTTCCCCCTACACCACATTGAGTAGTGATACCTTTATGAAGGGAATTACGGGAAGGCATACTTTGACTTGAACTACTTTTATATCTTAAAGATATAGTTATTTCTATAGATATAACTATAAAAATATAGTTATTTTGGTATGCCAAAGGGGATTGGTATTGATTGCTAATGAAGTTTTTTTTTTTTTAAATGCCTGTGGAATAATTCCTCCTAAGAGAAAAATCTCACATATTTAGACAAGGTGAGATATATATATATATATAAAGATACCGAGTGCCACTTTGTTTCTAATAGCAAAAAATTGGAACCAACCTAAGTGTTGATCATCATAGAACTGGGTAAATAAATTGGTATGTATTCATATGATGTAATACTACCCAATGATTAAAGTGACTGAAATATGTGCATGTATGTATATACATATATATGTATATGTATATAGTTTAGAACATCATAATGTTGAGTGGAAAAAAACAAGTTTCCAGAATGAAACCTACAGTATATCATTTTTATAATTAACATATAGAAAGTGTATATTGTTTGCATGTATGACCAATATTAAAAATAGACTAGAAGAATACCCACCAAAGAGCAGTTATCATTCCAGAAGAGAGAATAGGATTAAACATGGGTAACAAAGGGATTTCAAATAAACAAGATAAAATCTCAACATTTTTGATTCATAGATATTTGCTATATCATTCTCTCAAATTTTCTGCAGTTTTAATATTTCTCAAAAAGTTGGGATTGATGCTGGTGGATAGCATGAGGGGACCTCAAGGGAAGTACCCTGGTGAGAACTGTGTACCTGACAATGAATAGGAAAAACAGGAGAAGATACTTATTTCTGGAAAAGGTGTTGTTGGCATTTAATAAAGGCTAATATAAGTATTTGATGGGCCCATTTGGCAATGTTCCTCACTGTGGTAGAAGGGAGGCTTGAGGTCTGGAACTCACCTTACCCCTGATAGCTGTACAGCAACGGGGAGAGGGCCCTACCGCTTGGGGAGCTGGGCTGGACTTGCTCTTCCCGTCTCCATCTCTGAAGTCTCTGAACATATCCCGTGATAAGACTGTGAATGAACCATTCTCGTCGCCTACATTCTGCTATGCTTTTTACTGCATTAGTGCTAATGTTCTCTGGATAAATTTCTAGGCATGAAAGAATGCATACCAGAAGACCCTATCATGTGGAAGATGCTGAAAAATACTGCCTTGAGGATGATTTGGTCAATTTAGAGGTTCTGGATGAGGTACTTAAATATTTAGTAGGCAATTCTCACTGATGACATTTGTTTCATGTGAATGGTCTGACCTTTTTCTTGTAGACCATGTTATCCTAAGGTCACTTGAAAATTTAATTGTTTGTATAGCCTTGGGGTGAAGCTCCGGGAGCATTTGGCTGCCGTGACTGTGAACCTGTGTTGTATTCATTTATAGTTCCCCCAAATGTCCAAAACGATGAAGAGGAAAGGATTTGGATTTTTTCCAATAAAGCTCTTTATATCGTAAGCCTAATGATCTGTTACATCACGGGAAATTATTTTGTTTTAGAAAAAGTGCAGTTTAACTCTTAAGTCAAGATAGTTGTTTGTTCTTTTTGAAGAGGAGTGTTATTCAGGGAAACAGTAAAGATAACAGCTTGAATTTTAAATTTGAAAACTGCGATAATCCCCGTTTAAAGTATGCATATTTAATAGAGCTGTTAATTACACTGAAACTTCTTTTGCTGATTCTAGCTTGAGAGACCTTTAACTACAATGCATGAATCACTAAAGTGTAATATAAACGTGTTCAATTCCATATTCCCATCACATAAATTTTAAGTGCAATGCTTTGAGAAATGAAGTTCTTGCCTTTTTCTGTACTTTATCAATAGGAACTGCTTTTTAAATCAGATTCTAAGTATAACATCTTGACTGGGTAAGGCAGCTTTTTCATAATGACAAATAAAGCCTTTGTTGGATATCTCAGTGTCCTTTAGCAAGCCCTAAGCGGGCCTAATTCTTTCAGCATATTGCTACTTTTTTCTTCTCCCAAGGCAAATATCTGCATTTAGGATCCTTAGGGTCACTGTATGATATAAATTGACTGAAAGACATCCTTGTAAGAATAAATTTGTTGTTATTATTAGAACTCTCTCCTGGTCAGGAATAATGCTGACGCTCAATGCTGTTTATCTCTTCTTAGGATACAATTATTCATCAATTACAAAAGCGTTATGTGGACTTGCTGATTTACACATATGTTGGAGACATCTTAATTGCCTTAAACCCCTTCCAGAATCTAAGCATATACTCCCCACAGGTAAGGGGTGCTTTGAGAGCATGTTGCTTCTTAATAGGAAATTAAAAACCACAAGGGAAAGTAAAAAGAAGGGGAAAGCAAAAGTAAAATTATGCTTCTTTCTGTGGTGTATACCCCAAACTGCAGATAATAATGCATCACAGATGGAATTCTTACATTTGGGGGTCACTTTTTAGAGCAAGATATAACAGTAATAGCTAACATTCATTTAGTGCTTGCTGAAGGCACTGGCTTGTCTTACTTCTCATAATCTGTGGGATGGGCACTATTATTCAACCCGTTTGGCAGACCAAGAGACTTAGCACTGGGAAGTTAACTCCCTTACAGAAGCTCGTGAAACTAGTCAGTGCGGAACTGCGATTTGAACAGAGGCCTGCAGACTCCAGAGCCCGTGCTCAGCAGCCTTCCTGATGCTACAGTTCCCCTAATGAGTGACAAAGCCTTGGTTTCATGGGCATCGGGTACTGGGGCATTAGAAGTTTTCTTTAAACTACTTATTTTTTTTCTTCAGTTTTCCAGACTTTATCATGGGGTGAAACGTGCCTCCAATCCGCCCCACATATTTGCATCAGCAGATGCTGCTTACCAGTGTATGGTTACTTTCAGCAAAGACCAGGTAAGAACTCCCCTTCCTGCCAAGTCCCATGGTAGGGTGTGTTCTGTCTTCCTCTGCAGATCTGTGTCTTCCTGAAGACTCCATTCTGGTTGCCGGTGCTGATTCAAGGAGGTAGGAAATGAAAGAGTACCTCAGTGGGACAGGAACAGTGGTAAAAGCTAGAGCAACAGGAGAACGTGAAAATTCTTTACTGTAAAGTGAAACATTCACATTGTGAGCTCTCGTTTTCCCTGATATTTAATGTAACAAGAATGTTTCTAACATGAATATGAGAGCATAGAGTCAACACAAACCTGATTACATGGCAGCAATTGTAATAAAAACAGGATGTAGAGCCACATAAATGAAATTCCTCCCTATTAAGGTCTCAGAATTTTCATGGTTCGGCCCTTTTTTGTACTGCACACAGGCTGACAGGGACCATGCACCACATCATTTAGCTGCTGAGAAATTATGATAGATTTGGTAAAGACTGAACAAATTTTACACTTGGTTCTTAGCCAAAAGGCTGAGAAGCGATAAGCCTGAACAAATTTTAAACTCAGTGCTAGTTAAACACAAAGCTCACTCACACAGTTTCTCTTTCTGGACCTTCAGCTCAGATTGGTGACATATCCCACTTTTGACCCTTCCTCTACTTTCAAAATGTATATATTTTTTTGTGTCTTTAGTCTCTTTGGAATATAAGTAACCTAAATTGGTGAGAAAACTTTATGAGAGAATTACTGTGTGTAAATCTCTTGAGACCTGTGAAGTCTCAGCTTTGGGTTTGTTGAGGAATAGATGAAACTGTAACAGTGCAAGTTACAAAACAGAGTACATGGATTCACTATAGGTTAGAAACTTGGCTTCTCTAAATTCTTAGGTTTCCCAGAGACATGTGAAACATCCACAGATTTCATAGAGAGGAAGTAAATGGAGAAGAGACACGCGTATTTCCCAAGTTGAGAAGTTGCCCCACTGTGTTGTCATTTCTAACACCGAATGTTCTTTTCCAACACCAACCAGTTCAGTTCCCTAATAGTAACTGGATGTCCAACAACTCAATTCCATTCCATTCAGTTCTGATACTTCTCAGAGTTAGTACAGACCCCACAGCATCAAGGCTCGGTCCCAAAGACTGGCTCCGTTTCAGACTCCAGCCACAAAAGGGGTTCACAGGCTACCCACACTTCTGCCCAGCCCATAAATTTAGGGATTTCCCACAATCACCCTCAGGTCTGATAATTCACTAGAGCAACTCACAGAAGTCAGGAAAACGCTTTACTTAAATTTACTGGCTTATCAGGGCACCCAGGTGGCTCAGTTGCTTAAGCATCCGCCTTCAGCTCAGGTCATGATTTCACAGTTCATGAGTTAGACCCCTGCATCTCAGGGCTGGCAGTGCAGAGCCTGCTTGGGGTCCTGTCTCCCTTGCTCTCTGCCCCTCCTGCTCTCTCTGCCTCTCTCAGAAATAAGTAAACATTAAAAATGTTTACTGGCTTATTATAAAGGATATAGCTCAGGAACAGCCAAGTGGAAGAGATTACACAAGGCAAGACACAGGGAAGAGGGAGGGGGTGGTGCAAAGCTTCCACAGCTTCCCTGGGCAACCCCCTCCCAGAAGCTCAATGTGTTTATACCAGAAACTCTGTGAATCTTGTTCTTTGAGTTTTTATGTCTCAGTCCATCTCTAGCCCCTCTCTGCTCCCTAGAAGTTGGGATGATGGGGCTGGAAGTTCCCACTCTTGAATCATGTATTTGGTCTTTCTGGTGACCAGCACTTATCGTGAAGCTGTTTTGGGCCCTACCAGGAACCACCTGGTTAGCAGTTATATTTGGTTGAAAGGGACTTGTTTGTGAGTAACAGAAGATGGTCCTTAGGAAAGCAATTTGGTGCCATCTACGCAATTTACAAATGCATTTTATCTTTTTTCAATAAATTTGTTTTTTAAAAAATTTAATTTACTTTTTTCCTATTGTTGCTTATTTTTAAGAGTGACACAGTGTGAGATGGGGAGGGGTGGAGAGAGGGAGGCACAGAATCTGAAGCAGGCTCCAGGCTCTGAGCTGCCAGCACAGAGCCAGATGTGGGGCTCAAAGCCACGAGCCATGAGATCATGACCTGAGCCGAAGTCGGACGCTTAACCAACAGAGCCACCCAGGCAGCTCGACAAATGCATTTTATCTTTTTGTCCAACAACTCATTTCTGGGAATGTATTCTACAGAAAAACTTGCACATAGATATAATGCCCTCCATAGGGTTATCCGATGCAGTATTGCTTGTAGTAACATAAGGAGCGTCCATCAGTATGAGACTGGTTAAAATAGATTTTGCTACATCTGTACAATGGAACAACAAGCAGCTGTGAAAAAGTCAAAGAAGCTCTCAATGTACAGAAATGGAAAGATTCCAAAGATCTGTCATTCAGTGAAAAATTAAGGTGTACGGGGGAGATGGTGTATGAAAACCATCACTGAACATACAGGTTGTTGCCTGTGCTATGACTCTTCACTCTTATTTCATCTTCTGTGTCAGTGCATTGTCATCAGCGGAGAAAGTGGCTCTGGGAAGACGGAAAGTGCACACCTGATTGTTCAGCATTTGACTTTCTTGGGAAAGGTATTGGCTACCTGCTTTATGTATCGTGGCTAGAATCCTTAGAGTAACTGCATATTTTATAAATGATGGAAATACTGGCTTTTATTAGGGATTACATTAAAACCTTCCGTCTTTATTATGTTTACCTCCTGATAGCTAGGCCTCTTAAGATGTCAGCATGCCATCCTTCTTTCACGTAGTGAGGAAAATAATGTCAGCACGAATTTACTAGATTATCAGCAATTAATTTTTAATGTTTTCAGTGTAATAGAAACATTTGGCCATTAAGTAGTAAAAGTGGTTAAACACTAGGAACAGGATCAGGGAGAGCCACCAAGGCTTTGATTAAAGGATTGGAAAATAGAAATCTATGAGCAAAAATTGAAGGAGATGGAAATTTTTAGCTTGGTGAAATGGACATTGAAAGAATGACTTAAAAAATGGACTAGCAGGCAGAGTGGCTAAAATGAGCAAATCAGAGAACTCTAGATGCTGGCGAGGATGTGGAGAAACGGGCACCCTCCTACACTGTTGGTGGGAATGTAAACTGGTGCAGCCCCTCTGGAAAACAGTGTGGAGGTTCCTCAGGAAACTAACAATAGAACTCCCCTAGGACCCAGCAATAGCACTGCTAGGAATTTACCCAAGGGATACAGAAATGCTGAGGCATAGGAGCACATGTACCCCAATGTTCATAGCAGCACTCTCCACAATAGCTAAAACATGGAAAGAGCCTAAGTGTCCATCAACAGATGAATGGATCAAGAAGATGTGGTTTATCTATACCATGGAATACTACATGGCAATGAGAAACAATGAAATCTGGCCATGTGTAGCAACATGGATGGACCTTGAGGGTGTTATGCTGAGCGAAATAAGTCAGGCAGAGAAGGACAAATATCATATGTTTGCACGTATAGGAGGATTAGGAGGAACTTGACGGAGGAACAAGGGGGAGAAGAAGGGCGGAAATGGTGGGGGAAAGGGAGAGAGGCAAACCATGAGAGACTCTTGAATGCTGACAAAAACTGAGGACTGATGGATGTGGGGGGGAGGGGGGATGGGCATGGAGGAGGGCACTTTGGGGATGAGCACTGGGTGTTATGTGGAAACTAATTTGACAATAAACTATTTGTAAAAAAAAATGGACTAGCAGGTACATATACTAAGAATTTGTGTATTATAAGACTAAGAATTTAAGGAATCTTTTTACAGATTAGGTTTATTGAATATTATAATGGATGACTGAGAAAAGTTATGGGATCTCTCTATTTAAAATTCTTTCTAAACTGTTTAGACATTTTATCTGTCAAGGATTTTAAGTGAAGTGTGGCTGGTTACCAATAAAAATTGATAACCTCAGTTGCTCATCTGAGAAGATGGTGCTGGTGGTTGATGCTAATTTTTCCAAGTGAAGCTCTTCCCGAAAAGATAATGTGAATTTTGGGGGTAGAGAGGGGGTGCTTGGCAGTTTTGCTAAAGTAATAGTTCCGGAAGTGCCTCTTGACTGTTGTCTGTTTGGCACAGGCCAATAATCAGACCCTGAGAGAGAAAATCCTGCAAGTCAACTCCCTGGTGGAAGCCTTTGGAAATGCATGCACTGCCATCAATGACAATTCCAGCCGTTTTGGAAAATACCTGGAAATGATGTTTACACCAACCGGAGCTGTGATGGGGGCAAGAATCTCCGAGTATCTTCTTGAAAAATCCCGAGTTATAAAACAGGCAGTGTAGGTGCACTATTTTGTCACTCTGTTTTTACTCTGCAGGATAGACCGAGAGGCTTTGGCAATCTTAATGGTTCTGTTTCACCCTTGTTCTTAGCCTTCAGGACCCCTCTACCCCCAGTTGGCCCAAGAACAAGAAATGATTTAAGCAAAGGATAAGTGGTAATTTCTAGCCTAAGAGATACTTGCAGGCTGAGTACAAAGGGTTGGGGTGGGAGTATGTTGGGATCAGGATACCCTTTTCTTCTGAGTTGGTACGAGGTAAAATGTAGCAACATTGTGAATATTTTTAAAAATCATTGGGTACCTTAAAATTGAATTTGTCTATTAAAAAAAAGCACTGATAATATTCCACCTACTAATTTTTTTCCCTCTAGATTGAGTAGGGAAAATAATATTTTGTTTTAAGAAGAGCAGTCCAGCAATAGTGATCAATAATATGGACCTCTCTGGATTCAAATGCTGACTCTGACATCGACTGTTCTTGGTTATGTCACTTAACCTCTCTGTGCCTTACCTGTGAAATGGAGTTGCTTGCAGTGCCTACCTCATGGGTTTGCCGTGAGGATGAATGAGTTAATTTATATAAAATTACTCGAAAGAGTGTCTTGTATAGTACATGTTATTAGAGGGCTAGCCACGCTTCATATTATTATTGCAGGACACCAGACTCCCTCAGGAGCGTGGTCCATTCATGCATTATTCCATAATTACTGAATGCTTGTTGTATGCTAGTGTTGAGCTCCCTGCTGGAGTTGCAAGAGTAAGCAAAATAGACAAGGTTGCAGTATTCATGGAGCTTGGACTGGATGGGGGATTCGTTCAGGGAAGGGAGGGAGGACCACAGGCATTAAACAAATAAATAAAGTTAAATGCAGAACCCTTATGATAAATCCCAGGAAACAAAGTGCTTTGAAGGTAAAACGAGAAGGAAGGACACAGGACCTAGTCCAGGAAGACATGAGCTCCCTGTGTGTGAGACAGTCAACCTGAGACCTGAGGATGGTTGAGTTGGCCAGCAAGATGGTGTTCCTCCCAACAAGGGAGAGACAGGCAAACAGGAGCCTGAGACCAGATCATGCAGGGCTTTGGAACCATGTTGGGGATTTCAAACCTTATTCTAAAGGTGATAGGAAGCCATTTAATGTTTTCAAGCAGAGGAGTCACAAAACCCAAGGTGCATTTTGAAATGAACCCTCTGGCTTCAGTGGGGAAAATGGATTGGAGGAGATGCAAGAGGGATTGTGTTGAGACCATTAGGAGGCTGTTTGATGCCAGATCCATGTGAGATGGACTGAAGGCCTGGACTAAGATAGGAGCAGTGGAGAGAGGTGGGGAGAAGTGGATGAATCCGAGAGAGATGATGCAAGAAGAATCTACAGGACTTGTTCTAGGGTAAGGTTTCAAGCATCCTCTCCTGTCACACATTCTTCACAAAATAGGGACTGGCATGCAAATTAAACAAATGAACAAAAAGATAGAGTGAGAGTTATTTCAGGTTCCCTATGGCTTCTTGATTAATTTTTATGAGGTCACTTGCTTCTTTCTCCCCAAATTAGGGTGATTTTAAAGTTTATGGAGCTGCATTTGACAGAATGGAAAACACAGTTTTCTATGTTCAAATGTAAAATGGTCTTTTAGGAAGATAATGTGAAGAGGATTCCGATCATAGCTATGTCACTTATTGTATATGTCACCTAATGTAAATATACTCACATTTTATTTTCTTTATATGCAAAAAGAGCATAAGAATGTCATCCATACAGGGCTATTATATGAGAATGAAATGAGATAATGTGATTTATACCAAATACAGGATCTGAAACATAATAGGTACCTAATATACCATAATATTATTATTACATTTATTCAATATGATAGCAGGGATGAGGTAAAATACACTGAAGATATTGAAGGAGGAGAAAATGGGGCTCATGCAAATCCTGTTCACCTAACATTTCTGAAATGTTCCCTTCTGAGCACAGAGTAGGATTTCCCTTTTACATACCCTGTGGTTGGATGTGGTCATATGATCAGCTCTGGCAAATGAACGTGTAATGACAAGACTTTCTGGTAGAGTGCAAGATGGTGGCTGCTGCATCAGCCTGGGCCCATGAGTGACTATGATGAGCACACCCCCTTCCCTTTGCTGGTGCTCAATGGACATGTGCTCTGAGCAAGAAGTAACCCTTTGTTGAGTTAAGCCACTGAGATCTTTGGAATGTTTGTTATTGCAGCAAAACCTAGCCAATGCTGATGGATACAAGGATGAAAATTAAATTGAATTCATGCTAGGGATGGATGTTGGTAGGCAATGTTCAGAGGAATTGAGAACTAGAGGTATATGCCAAAAACAAAAAAAAAACCCACAAAAAAACTGTAAGATAAGATCAAGATGGGTCAGCTGAAGTCTGTGCATTTATCAAATTTAAAGAATAAGTGATATTTGTACCAGGCTGACTGATTCATAAAGTCCTAAAAGGGCTTTACCGTCTCCATGAATGGTGCCATCATCAGAGATGCTCAAGTTAGATACCTGGGAGACAGACTCCAGATCCTTTTCTCACACTACTCTCATTCATTCTCTCAGGATGTTCTTTTAGTTGTTCCTCTGAATACATCTTAAAGCTTACTCTTGTTCTCCATCGGCACTATCATTGCTACCGATCCAGGTCACTTGCTCTCTCACCTGCCCCTCCTAACTGGTCTCCCTGCATGCTTCTTACAGTCTAGTCTTCATCCTGCAGCTAGAGTGTACTTTTTTCAACACAGATCTACTCATGTCATATACTTAGAGTGTACCTTGGCTCCAGATTAATACACTTCAAAGAATTCTAATTGCTTAGTCAACAAAGTCCTCATTATGGCCTAACACTGGCCCTGCCTACCTGCCTAACCCCTTCTCACTAGCATATTTTTGATTCTATGTGGGTATCAGGCTCAGAGCCCTTGTGTATATGTTGCTCCCCGTCTTTGGATTACTTTCCCCCCTTCTTTCTGTAGCTCCTTCCAGTCCCTTCTCATGTTTCAGTGTTTGGCCTCAGTGGTATTTCCTTAGAGAGTCCTTCCCTTGACTTAACACAAGCAGCCTTTATCCCCCAATATTATTCTTCATCTCAGCCTTTTGTTTGTTTCGAAGCCCTCATCACAAGTTTCCTTGTTTTATTTCACTCTATGACCAGAAGGGAGGCTCCAGAGGGCATGAATCCTCTTAGTCCTATATCCCTGGCACCCGGTATAGTGCTTGTCATAACTGACACTTGGTAAATTTATTAGCTGAGGGAACTAATGAGTGAGAAATGGTGAGCAGAGGCATCTGGAGTACAAGGCAGGAATGAGAATATACCAGAGGAGCTTTGACAGGGTAATGACCAAAGAAAGACCAGGATACCCAGAAGAAACTGAAGAAAAGAGGGGGGCCCATGTCACAGATGGGAACAGGGAGTAGAAAGAAGATGTCTTTCCTCAGAGCTAAATTGGCCAAAATGAGGATTTGCCAAATCATGGGATATCAACAGAAGAGACAGCCCCCTCCAGAGGAAAGAAAGGGATCCAGAGCAGAGCTTTTCAAACTAAGTTGAAGGACCAGTTGAAAGAAATTTGGGGGCACCTGGTTGGCTCAGCTGATGAAGCATCTGACTCTTGATTTTGGCTTAGGTCGTGGTCTCATGGTTGGTGGGTTTGAGCCCCACTTTGGGCTCTGCAGTGGCAGGAAACTGGCGCGTGCTGCTTTGAATTGCATTTGAAAGAACACAGGTTTGAAAGAGTAGAGACCTCAGTCTGGGACCCAGTTTTGCTCCCTACCTTGCCGTAGGACTGAGTGCTACTTCCTGTCTGGGGCTCCAATAAAATAGGGAGATTGGCTGATCTCTCCTAGCTGTTATCACTGTTTCTGAAGCAACATGGGTTACTAATGGAAGGCATGTGGCACAGACGTGTAGTCATTTGGGCTGTACTAGAAAGATCTCTAAACATGTATAACCTGAGCTGTGATGTATAAATGTTCCATTCTCTAAAACCTCCTTGTGTGTAAACATAAATGTGTTTAATAAATGACACTTTGACAATCACTATACTAATCTTATAACTGTTAGTATTCTATAATTGGGATGTGGCATATTTAATTGCCTGAAAATGCAAATTTGCTACAGGATAGTATTTTTCACAGAAAGGAGATGGTATAAATTACTTGAAGTGGGGAAGCCCCAGAATATGTTGTTAATATCCCCTCCCCACTTTTTTTTCCAGGGGAGAGAAAAATTTTCACATATTTTACTATATTTATGCTGGTCTTTATCACCAGAAGAAACTTTCTGAGTTCAGACTTCCTAAGGAAAAGCCTCCTAGGTAAGTGTCAGGGGTTTTAGTTGTTGATTTTTAATGAATGTGTAACTAGCAATTGAGAAAACTTGGAAATAAATGGAACTGTTTTTCCTAACTGGACACTGATAGTCTCTTAAATTGAAATACCCAAGATGAGATGGCACCATTTTCATTTTCCAGAAAGCTCAAAAACTTAACTGCAGCCCTTCACCTTTTGCATTTTCTATAAAGTTCAAAAACTTAACTACAGCCATTTTACTTAGCCACATGCACCATTATTCCACTGCAATGTTGGACTGAAAGGGAAATGCCCTTGTGAAGAAGGAGCCCAGTGATGCCCTGGTATTTGGGATACCATTTTGCCAAGTCAGTGCTCATTGTATTTGGTCATACTCCATTTAGGTACATAGCTGATGAAACTGGAAGGGTGATACACGACATCACTTCTAAGGAGTCTTACAGAAGACAGTTTGAAGCAATTCAGCATTGCTTCAGGATTATAGGGTTCACTGACAAGGTAGGTGATTGCCAAAAGAAAAAGAATCTCAAGGGTTAATATTCTTGGATCAATGTGACTGAAGATGTGAATGTTCTAAGCTGGGCCAGCATACTTTCTTTTCAAATGCCGTCTGGTCATGTATAAGGTCTTGCTGCTCACAGTATGGTCTGAGGACCAGAAATATTGTCATCACCTGGGAGCTTGTTAGAAATGCAGACTCTCAGGTGCATCTATGAACAGGTGAACCAGGATCTGCATTTTAACAAGGTGCACAGGTGAGCATTAGAGCAGAAGTACTGTTGTAAGTGCCACATGCCTGCAAATTGTTACCGTTGTCATCAATTCACTACAGCTGTGATAACAAACACCAAAACAATACTGCCCTTTTCTGAGTTGGGGTTGTTCCAGCCAATAAAGGGGATTGCGTAATACGAGTATAGGAATATGTAGGTTACACTCAGCCACAGAAATATATTTATGCAAGTAGCTCCTTGTGCACCAAAACAAATTAATTTAAACCTTTTCAACTTTCTTGCAGTCACTTCCTTCTCCATGGTACACAGTTGCACATTATTACCTCTAGTTCTAAGTACTGTACTACTCTTATCTTGCGAGATACAGGCTGTCTCTATTAAATATATGCCAGGGGTGACAGAAGATATTTATAACCCTAGGTTCAAATATTATTCTGTGATACATTTATGTCATAGTTTCTGGGCTTCATGCCATCAATTTGGCAAAATACACAGATTCTTTTGCTTTCCCAAGAAAGGAGGTGAATGATTAGGAGGTAGGTGAGAGTGTTAAATCTTAAGGGATTAGATTACAAGACACTCCAGTTACCCTGGGACAGCCACTCTGGGTAAAGGATTGCTTCTGTAATCTAATGAGTTTGGCCATCCCTTCCCTCCCCAGCAAGGCTGATTTTAGTCATAATAATACCTTTCTTTTTTCTAGCCAGCTATAATTTTCTCTGTCTGCCTCCCACTGACTTTAGACTGACAGACAGTGGAAAATCCCAAAGGTCAGATAAAAACAGAACTATATCTCCCTTGGCTCCTTAGAGGAGAGCAATTAAACAGGTTCCAGCCTTATTAAAGGACCTTTATGGTTATTAATTTATAGAGCTGATTGTTATCAAGATGCATCACCAGAAGAGTCCAAGCGTGGTAGAGATGGCAGTAGAGCGATTTAAAGTCACCGGGGTCATGCCAAAGTGTTCAGGGGCATACCACCTGAAAAGGGTACAGGGTCAATAGAGAAGTTAGCCATAAGGTTAATAATATTTTGCTTTCAATGAGTATAAAGATGGGTGTAGAATATTGTGAAGAGATTGGTGCTAGCTCTAGAAGAATGTATATAATGGTTCTGTTCTAATAATAGAAATGTACTGCAAATTATAAACAAATGCTATTTTAAGATAACAAAATAAAAACAAAACAAATTAAATATGCTAAGTATGTGTCTTTGAGGTAAGCCATCCCTAACCCTTAGTGAAAAAAAATAAAGTAGAACTGAATGAATGCATGAGTAAATATGAAAAGAAATGTAAAAAGTGGTAAACATAATTAATTTCTGCCTGATCTGGACTATAAAATGAATAACCAGAATGTAATGATATGTATATATTTTCACCATGTCTCATATTCATAGATATTGTAAATAAACCAACTTACATCAGCAACCTTGGAAATGGAAGGAAGAGGCTGGCTCTGATCTCTCTGATCTTACATTCTTTGGTTATATCTTTGTATCTCTATAGACAACCTGTTTTTGCTGAATTCACTAAGTTTACTTTATAAATTCAAAGTAGTTTGACTGAATTCAGAAAGATTCAGGTGAATGTAGTCAGGGAGCAGATGTCAAATAGCTGATCTATCAGAACTTTTTCTTAAGTTTATTTCTTGACAGAGGGACATTTCTAGACAGAGCTTAAATAAACTGGTCAATGTGATCAAAATTATAGTCACCCTCTTTTCTTATGGTGTCATTAAGTACCCTGCATGAATCTTCAGAGTATTCTTCAGATTCTTGCAAACTCCCATAGCAAAACTATGAGTAGCAAACCTTAGCGCAGACTCAAGTACATGAATTTTAATTCTGGGACACCAGCCAAAAGAATGAGAAAGGACACTTGACCCCGAGTTTATTGTAAAGAAACTTCCCTGGTAGAAGGAGTCTTCCATGAACACTGACGGTTCCTTGCCCAGGAGTGGGCAGGGGGGTTGGGGGTTGGTGGTTGGGTTGGATTATGCCTAAAATCCTATTATGAAGACCCATGCCTTTTTGGAATCAAACCTTATTATTTTTGTTTAATATTATTCTTGTCTTGCTGGTATATGAATAATCATAACGTATTAAATAAATTGAGTTTTAAGTATGTTTATATTTAGTATTACATGAAAAGATTTTAGGCAGATTATCTGTGTGATGATCAAGATTGGATATTTACTGCAGATCCCTTGATGAAGAGGTTAGGGAGAAGGCTTTGAGATTAGGGCAAATTCTTTTCCCTTTCTTCAAGATAGATTATGAATTTGGGAGAGTATTGCTGAAGAGAGACTGAAAGGTTGTGTTAAAATGTCAATGGGGGATCTTGAGGACTTTCAGTGTTCAAATGATAGACAATGGGACTTAGCATTTTTTTAAACTACTTTATTGATGTATGATTGATATACACCCCCCTGCCCCCAAATGTTTTTAAACCAATCATTGGCTTTCAAGATACGAATGTTGTGACCTCTGAAAGGAAAACTGAAAAAGGTGTTGGAATAGAGCCCATAAGGGAGAAGACCCTTTAATGGGGCCTAATGTGGTACTTAGAGCAGCTGGTAAAAAACTAGAGCCTTCTAAAAAGAAAACAAGATAAAGAGATACTGAGAGGGCAAGTAAATTCCTGGGAGAGGAACAGAGAAACAACTACCACGAGATGGCTGTGAACCAGGCTAGGAAAAACTCCAGGCTAAATGGAAAGCAGCTCCAGGCTAATGGAAAACCAAGATCCTTCTCAATTTTTGGCTTAGCCTCAACTTTATTAAGAGAATACCTACATCAGTGAAAGAAGTATCTTCTGAGAAAGAGAAAGAAGCAGCAAAGACATCCTTCATAGGATGTTGATGGAGAAAGGCTCTTTTTCCCCACTTGTGCAGATTGGTGGTAAAAATGAATTCATACTCCTCAACAATGTCTTGGAAAACCAGCTGGAGGAGTTGTTAGTCATCTTGATAGTATTTCCTGTCCTGAGTGAGGTTATTCTGTGTTATCATGTAGAAAGTTGGAAATATAAGAAATAAAAAATAGAGCATCATAACAAGATTCTGTAGCAAAGTCAGGGATACCAGGAAAGGGTGCCTACCTGGAGATGAGGCAAGAGAAAATGAGCAAAGTGAGGAAGGTGACAGTCTTTCTCAGGCTAGCTGTGAGGAGAAAAGAAGAGACTTGATTAAGAAGTTCTAGGGTTGGGGCATGCCTAGGGGGCTCAGTCAGTTGAGCATCTGAGTCTTGATTTCTGCTTAGGTCATGATCTCACAGTTCATGAGATTGAGCCCCACATCAGGCTCTGCACTGACAGCATCAACCCTGCTTGGGATTCTCTCTCCCTCTCTGCCCTCCCTCATTTGCATTCATGGATGTGCTCTCTCTCAAATAAGTAAGCAATAAAAAAAAAAAAAATACTGGGAAGGGAAGTGTAATCCCACAGATGAACACACTACTGATTGTCCTCTAACATGACTATATATGGATGATGTTTTGACTTGACCATAAGGGTGGATGTAGGTTCCTAGTCCAGAAAGGCAGAAGTAACGAAGGGGAAGACTGAAGGAATCAAGTGGAATAGCCTGTAATTATAGCATAAAGAGCACTCTAAGGCTGATTCCTCCATAGTAAGGTCAACATTGGATACCCTTCTCATGTTGCCCTCTCTGAAGCAAGGAAGGAGACCCAACCCACCATTAGGTTAATCATTCATAGTGTTTGAACCCCAAAGCTTTCACTGAAGGTCATGGTAGTTTTCTTTTTAAAAGAGGAAATATCTGGGTATTGTGCGGAAGAGAACATTGCCAGAGAAACAACCAGATGAGAACTACCATTTCCTTTGGGGATGATCCATGCCAGTGGTGAAATGCTTGGAAGCCCTATTTTGGGAGGTTTCATGCCTTGTATGGTCATTTATGTTGCATGTGTGTGTTTTACTTTTTATTAAAAATTTTTTTAATGTTTATTCATTTTTTGTTGAGAGAGAGAAACAGAGCATGAGTGGGAAAGGGGCAGAGAGAGAGGAGACACAGAATCTGAAGCAGGCTCCAGGCTCTGAGCTGTCAGCAAAGAGCCTGACACGGGGCTCGAACTCATGAACCATGAGATTATGACCCAGCTGAGGTCGGACGCTTAACCAACTGAGCCACCCAGGCACCCCACGTGTGTGTGTTTTAATTAGAGGAAATACATTTTTTTCCTCAGAGTATTGAGAGTTTAGATAACTTTTTGAGATAACTGGGTATAGAAATAATAGATACATCAAACTCATTGTTTTAGAGTCTCTGTTTACCCTCTGGGAAGTTGCTTGCTTATTGCATTCCATGCGCTTCACATTGTATTGATCAAGGTAATGAGGTGCTGTCGTGTTAAAACCACGCTAGTCCCAGAAAACGCATCTGGCAGGTGTTCTCCTTAGCCAGTCTTAAGTCGTGTGATTAAAACAGTGATTCTTGACATCATAAACAGGACATCTTGCTTTTGATTTAGAAGTTTGAAGAACAGTATTTATCTATCGTAGAAGCCTGGTTTAAAATCCTCATTTATCTTTGTAGCATTATCAGGTATCCAGCAGATGTCACTATTACAGTCTATGTTCAGCTGTTGGCTTTACTGAGGAATGTTCACAGGAAGGCTCAATTTGGGAACAATGCTGTATCAATGGTCTAATGACAGTTCCTATTAATTTGCTGCTATGTATAGTACTAAATCAAGTTCCTCACCTGAGTATTTTTGTGGAAGTACTTTTCTCTATAAGCATAAGATACAGAAATTTCCTGGCTATCCATTTATCTCACCTATAGGAAATGAATATGGCTAAATAAATAAATATAATTTATATTTTACCGCTAATGCCACTTATGCATTTAACTTTTAATATAAAAATAAGACTTAGATAATCTAAACTATCTTCACTCACAACACTTCTGACACCAAATGTGTGGAGTTTCCCCTCCACACACACCAACCAATTCTCCGGTAATTCAATTAGCTTCTGATACTGTCTACCTGGAGTTAATATCTGATCACACAAGTGAGGGATTCAGTTCCCTTAGACTGCCCCCACTTCAGACACTAATGGCAAGTCCTGCTTGTTCAGTAGAGGTTCTCCTAATGACCAAATAGCTATGAAATGGGAGGTTTAGGGTCCCAAGATCCCAAACTTGATTAATTGGATAGAAAGACTCAAAAAACTTGGGAAAACTGTTTACTTGCTATTACTGGTTTATTATAAAGGATAAAACTTAAGCCAAGTGGAAGAGGAGGTACATAGGGCAAGGTTTTGGGAAAGGGGGTCCCCCCCTCCTTTCACCACCTTCATGTGTTCAACAACCCGGAAGTATTCTGAACCTCATCAGTTAGGGGTTTTAATGGAGTCTCCATCACAGAGGCATGAATGATTAAATTATTGTCAGTTGGTGATTAACTCAATCTCCAGGATTCTCCCCTCCTTGGAAGTCCAGGGTATAGCTAAAAATTCCAACCCTTTAATGTGTGGTCCCTCTAGCAGCCCGCCCCCATTCCCCAAGAGTCACCTCACTGGCATGAACTCAATTACATTTGAGGGGCTTATTCTGAATGACAGAGGATATTCCTTTAATACCTACCACTCATAATTCCAAGGGTTGCATAAACTCTTATGCCAGAGATTTGTATGAAGACCAAATCTATGTTTTTATTATATCACAGTATCACAAATAATTTCTAGTGACTCAGAATATTTCCTGACCTCATTCATAATTATATACTCCATTATTTAACTTAAGAATGTTCAATGAACTATTAATGAATGCCCTGATAACTATTTCATAAAAGCTATATTCAGAAGAGGTTAAGTAAACATCTCTCTTGTTTTGAAGAAAGAACATACCTGAATTTGGGAGTTGGGATTAGTTAGGGTAAATGGCTCAAAGTGGCATAAAGAACACAGAAGATCCAGTCTCTCTTACGGAAGCATTTCATGGTAAGAGGTTCATGTTTCAGAACAACTTTGTTCCATGCAGTCCTTAGTCTCAGGAATCCTAGTCAACTGCATAGTTGTGGGTGGGTTGTTGGGAATTCCAGCCAGCAATAATGGGAAAGAAAGCATGGAGGAGGCACGCTCGCCTCGGTAAGGCTGGGTTCAGAATTGCCCACTTCATTCCACTTGCTCCTTTGCCGAGAATTTAGTTCTACTGTCTAACTGCAAGGGAGGTTTGGAAATTTATTTGTGTGCCCAGGAAAGGGGTGTGTGTGTGTGTGTGTGTGTGTGTGTGTGTGTGTTGGACTTCAGTGGACAACTAGCAGTGCTAGTGGCTTGTTAATTTGATCGGCAGTGACCAAACATGGTTCTTGCTGTCCTTTTCAGGAGGTACACTCAGTGCACAGAATTTTGGCTGGGATTTTGAATATTGGAAACATTGAGTTTGCAGCTATTTCCTCTCAACATCAAACTGATAAAAGTGAGGTGCCCAATGCTGAAGCTTTGGAAAATGGTAATTGTTTGATGTCTGTGCACTATGTAGCCAAAATACATGTTTCTTTCACTTTGGTAGTTTCTCAAGATGCCGTAAAATATAGAGTAGCTGTTGCTGGTCCTTGTACTGACTTTGGGTATTTTTACTAACCAAGGTTTCCAAAGGATGTCTTGTAGAACATTAGTATTATTTTCATAAGCTTCAAATAAATTCTCTGCAGAAAAGAATTCCGTGGCAGGTAACTTTGGGCAGTGGTGTAAACACTGGCTACTTTTGAAAACCATCTACAAGTTTTTGAAAAAAATACAAGAGCTGGATCTCTCTCCGAATCCACTGAATCAGCATCTCCAGGGGAGAAGTCAGGCACTATTTATTTTTAAAGTTCTATAGGTGATAATGGTGGCACAAGGAAACCAAATCCTGAGTTAGAAAAAAAACTGATTTAAATAAACACCATTTGTGTTAAACAGCATCTTTTACTGCCTTTAATAAACTAATGTGCTTTGTGACTCTTGAGAATATAGTGCCCAGCTCTTTGACCAAAGACCATCTCCTTTCGCTTTTTTCCATCAAATACCTGGGACGAGCTTTCAGAACAGTGTAGATGTTCTGTTACTGTGTTCATCAGGATGCTTCTTGGTGTTAGGGACCTGGCTCGTTTACCTTTGCATATGAAGTGCCTAGAGAGAGCCTGGCACATAGTGGATGTTTAAATGCTGGCTGAATGGATGGATGACTACATTCTCTGATGTCATCCTTACCCTTTATTCCAGCTGCCTCTGTTCTCTGCATCAGCCCCGAAGAACTCCAAGAGGCCCTTACCTCACACTGTGTGGTCACCCGGGGTGAGACCATCGTCCGTGCCAACACTGTCGACAGGGCTGCGGATGTCCGAGATGCCATGTCCAAAGCTCTGTATGGGAGGCTCTTCAGTTGGATTGTAAATCGCATCAATACACTCCTGCAGCCAGACAAAAACATATGGCAAGTTCCCTCCGGAAGTAGAGCCCTTGGGAGAGCTGTCATTGACCCCAGTATCTCCTAGATTTGCAAGAGAAAGTGTTTGGTCCCCTCTTGAGTTTTCTTTAGTGAAGCTCTCAAATCTTCACCTTTAAAAGGAGAATGGTTTCCAGGAGCATGGAAGAGGCGCATGACTGACAGAGCTGTTATAGTGTAGTGTTTAAGAGAATAGGCTTGTCTGGGAGGTGGGCTCGATCCCATATTCTAAGTCATCGTTTTCTCATCTCTAAAATGTGGATAATAACATCCTCCTCATAGTGTTGTTTTTAGAATGAGAGTTTCAAGTCAGTTTTAAAGCACCATATCTTACATTATTATTCCACTCCTACTGCTGCTGTTACTACTATTTCTTTCTAAGCATTGATGGTTTCTCTACTGTGGAAGAACTGACATCACTTTCCAAAGAGTATTCTTCCAACTAAGCCTTCTGAGTGGGAAGGTGAAACAATGAATGGGCAGCAGTTCTAGCCCCTTGAAACAGAGTGGTTCCTCTTTAATCTCTCTCAATATGGAGCTTCTTAGTAAGATTTTAAAGGATTCTATTGCTGAAAAAATGTTGGAAATAGTATTGAAAAACTGAAGGAATGAGTAGTTTAAAACACAAACTGTTTCTTCCTTAGAGGTGGCTGAATGTTGCTTTCCAGGAGTGGGTATATATGTTGGTAAACACATGGGCACATATATTTAGCATATCATCCTGAGATGAGTGTTTCTTCCACTAACGAAATTTTTTCTTCTCTTCCATGCAGTAGCGCAGATGATGGTATGAATGTGGGGATCTTAGATATTTTTGGATTCGAGAACTTTCAGAGAAATTCATTTGAGCAACTCTGCATAAACATTGCCAATGAGCAAATCCAGTACTATTTCAACCAGCACGTTTTTGCTCTTGAGCAGGTAATAGTGAACTCTGAAGTAGCTAAACCTGGTGGGGAAGGTATCTCCAAGCTGCCCACAATTTGAAGTGGAAACCCTGTTAGGCTAATAGATAAAAGTTGCTAAGGAGAAACCACTGGTGAGGCAGTCCTGTCAAAATAAAGTGTCTAAATTTAGCCTGAAGCAAAAAGTCTTGATTTCTGTGGAAAGTTACATTTCCTCACTTGAGTGAAGCTGGTGACAAACCAGTTATTTAAATGTTGCTTCCAAACTGTTTCATGCACATTGTCCAAAATGCTACATTCTCTTCTACCTTATTTAACTAAAAGCATCTATGATTGTGATTGTGTCCAAAATGACACAGGATGATGTTGAATTCAGGGCATAGGTTCTTATTGTTCTTAACTCCCAAAGGGGCCATCCCCAACCCTCGTCTCCTGCACACCGGATCCCACAGTAACTGCTTGGGGGCCGGGCGGGGGGCGGGGGGTGGATTTTGGGAGGGATGGGAGTGGAATGTCTCTAGGGAGGAGTAAGATATGTTCTTGATTTTCTCCCAATGGAAACCTTTCCACTATGAGTTTAATGGGAAATCAAACTGGCTGTGAAGCTCGTGTGCCCAAAGGCTAGGGGACCTTCCCCTCCACTCCAATTTCTACCCCAGCCCCAAGACTCTATCTTGTATGAAGTAAGGCAACAATGAAACGTACTGACTAAGCCCTTTGTTTTAATGTTGGAGTGAACGCCCCCCCCCCAGTGCGTGCGTGTGCGCGCGCGCACACACACACACAGACACATTGTACTGTGATTAGATAAACATGAAGTATTGGTTTTATCAGTGGACCTGGATAAATCTGGTTCACCCTCCTCTCCCCTCCCCACTCTGTGTGAAATTCCACCTCCTTTTCAGTCAAGGCTCCTTGCATTTATTTCTCTGGGAAATCTGGAATTTTCTCCTTTTCCAGTCTGAGATGATTCCCTTGCAGAATCCTTTGTAGAAGAAGACAGATGTCTGCTTTCTTCCTGGTTTAAACCATAAGAGTTAAAACAAACTAGTTAAGCCCTAACTAAACCAAACTAGTTAACCCTTCCTGGGTTAAACCAAAATAGTTTTTTTTCAATTTCCCTTCCATTTCATGTCAGTTTCTAAATTATGAGTTACCAAGTTGGTATTTGGGAAACAGCACTGTCCCTTCTTTTGCTCAATTTAGCCGCCTGCAGGTCATACTTAAACCCAAAGTTTCCACAGTGGTTTATGCAGAAGAGGCCTTTACTATGCACATAAAACACAGCCTGTTTTCCACATACAGTCAGTGTTGCCAGACACGGGAAGTGCATGCCAGAGCAGCCTGGTGCTACCCAGACCACTTTCGAGCTGGAGAGATTCACAATCCATTTCCCTCCAGGTAGAATATCAGAATGAAGGCATTGATGCTACACCCGTGGTGTATGAGGACAATCGCCCACTCTTAGACATGTTCCTCCAGAAACCCCTGGGACTGCTCGCACTTTTGGATGAGGAAAGTCAATTTCCCCAAGCAACTGATCAGACCTTGGTTGGTAGGTATCTCTTGTGAAAGGCATATTACGCTCAGAAGAGAACTTGGTTCATGCCATCAAATGAGCATGGCTGAGTATTTTGGCCACCTGGTAGGCTATTCAAGTATAGACTCTAGTTTTAATGAATTAAAATAGTCAGCAAATGTCCTGATAGATTTGTGTCTTAAAGCAAACCCATTACCAAGCCCTCCTCACACTCCTATTGCTGCCAATATCATTTTTATACCCTCTTGTCCCTTTCCTGTAACCAATACTTGCTTTCCCTCCTTTTCATACCCTTCTCTCATATCTGCCTGGATCCCATGCACCTCTAGTCCAAGTTTGTATAGAAGACCCATCTGGTCTCGTGGCTTCTAGACTCATACTTACCTTCTCTACCCTGGACATTCCAGCTTAACTTAGTTTTTCTAAAGCCACCTTTTCATTAGTTTATTGTCTATGGCCTGCCAATAAGACACCTGCTCCTGGCATTAAAGGCCCTTTTTATTCTAACCCTCCCATCGCCTCCCCTCCCCGTTCCCTTTGTCCATCTGGTTCTTGAATCTTCAGTGTTGCACATAATCCTGTCTTTCACTTAGATTGTGAGATATTTAGAGCAACAAAGCCCCAATGTTTGTATCCATTTAGTACTTAGCACAGATCCTCACACAAAGTAGGCTCTCAGTTACAACAATAGCAAACATTGTTTATTGGGGGAGGAACAGAAAGCTTCAAGCTTTTTCCCCAAATAGGAAATTGATTGGCAGGATTCTCTTCAGGAGTTGTAGTTATCACCCTCAGTGGTTTCCTTTTACCTATAAAGTCATCCCAAGTTGCCATGATAAGTTTAAACAAGGATTGTTTGCCTTCTTCTGTGGGGTATCTTTACGGTTCTAAAGCTAATTGGTCAGAGTTCTGGTGTCATCAGTGTCCATGCTAGGAGTTCTTAGAACAAAACAAAGAGATGTTAGGGCATCGCCTGACCCTAAAGACAACACAAAGCTAAACGAAGACTTGAAGGTAAGTAAGCCCATCTCAACAGGGCATTTTTCTCCACTGTTGTACATACAGTGATAATATCAGGCTGCCCTGAAATCCCTTATTTGGGGTCACTCCTGGCTCAAGTGACTTTTTGTTTGAAAGAGCTAACAATTCTCATCGTAACTTTGAAACATGAAAATCCACACAGATAAATTTGAAGATAATCTGCGATGCAAATACTTCTGGCGGCCCAAAGGAGTGGAGCTGTGCTTTGGCATTCTGCACTATGCTGGAAAGGTGAGGCAAGTGTATGTTACTAAACCTGAATTTGACAAGGGGTATGTGTCCATATTACCCTGTCTGTGCTGTTCGCAAAATTGCTTGCAGGTTTCTTTTCTCCTCTTAATTCCTCTTGAACACCTGATCGTAATTCCTAAACTTTCTCAGTGGTGCTGCTCACAGAAAGTCGCCCCTGGTAAAGAAGCAATTTCTCGCTGGGGTGACTACGGAGCTGCCATCTGCCTCTCACCTAAGGTTTGGCCTAGAAGTGACAGCTCTCCAGAGAGAAAACATAGTATAGCTTTTGCAGTGTTGAGCAGTGAATGTGCACATTCTGAAGTCATTTGGAAATGTGTAGGTAACAGAGGAGGGGTAATATCACAGTGGGGCTCAGTTTCTTAGCAGTTTAACTCTATGTGTCTTTAGGGAACTAAAAATGTCTAGATAAAAAGGGTAAAAAATTCACTTCGTCATCCAGATGTTAAGCTTTTATACCATTAACAGAAATTTCCACCTTGTATAACTTATACCTCAGTCTCATTTCAAGTTCCTGAAGCAGAGTAGTGACTAATTCAGGAAAGTCTCTAGTCTGCAGCCGACAAGTCACTGCTTGAGTTACTCTCAAAGGAGCCATTGGAATTATGGCTAATTGGTTCTGGTGGGGTCTGCTGAGGCCCTGGGTCCAAAAAATGAGTAGGAGTCCAACAAAGGACATTTTGGATTATTTTGTTGATTTAAGATTTATTGAAATTATTTTTACTTTTATTTTTTATTATTATTATTATTTTTTTATTTTAGAGAGGGAGAATGAGTGGGAAGGAGGGGCAGAAAGAGAGAGAGAATTTTAAGCAGACTTCATGCTCAGCATTGGGCCCAACGCAGGGCTCAGTCCCATGACCCAGGGGTCATGACCCAAGCCGAAATCAAGAGTCAGATGTTCATCTGACTGAACCATCCAGGCACCCTTAAATCATTTTTTATATTCATATCATGGTATTGAAATTAATTTTGCCTGACAGGAGGTTGGTTGAAAGGCAATTCTAATATAAGTAGGGAGGATTGCTTTTTCTAATATAAGTAGAGAGGATTGTTTTTCTCTCCACATAGTGCATAGTATGTACTTTGGATATTTGTTAGAAATTGCAACCCAATTTTTACCCTTAAATACTTCACTCACCTTAGCACTGACGTCTGCCCGTATATTGACGTCCTCCATGTCCGAGATACCTTATCTAGCCTGCTCTCTCCATTCCTGTTCTCTTCCTCACACTTCCATTCTGTCTCTGTGTCCTTTTATACTTACCTCCTATTCACACATCTTCCCTTTCTCCCTCTTCTCCTTTCTTGATTTTAAGGCGGGTGGGGGGAGGTCTTTCTCTTTCTGGGCTCCTGTCCTTTTCTGAATTCATATGTCACTCAATGCTTATTTCTCTGGAGTGTTCTTAAAACTTCTCTGACCTGGATCCCTTCTGTTCTGAGAACTGAAAATGGCTCAGCAGCCCTGAGCATCACATGCCGTGAGTACCTTGGGAAGCAATGACAGTACAGTGGGTATGAGCTTGGAGCCCAAACTTCCTGGCTTTGGAATCCTGCCTATCACTTCTGAAATGTGTGACCATGAGCATATTATTTTTCTCTCTAAGCCTCTATTTGCCCACCAGTAAAATGGGGATAATAATAGTGTTTATCTCCTAGGATGGATGCTTTACATATAGCAACCAAAGATATAGCACCCAAGGTATTTTCATTATTATTATGTGAAATGACTATTTTTTTCAAAGAGCACCTGGACAAGAAGTTAAGATAAATTGGAGTGTCAAAAATTACATTTTTTCCCTCCTTATCTTGTGGATTGGATTTAAAAGCACGACTGTGTCAAGATAAATTCTATATATAGGTCGATTAACGACTGACCTCAGACAACTTGCCAGTGTTGCCGCCAGTAGATGATATTGGCTACTTTGCTGTTTGCTATTTATGTTGCAGGTATTATATGATGCTTCTGGAGTTCTAGAGAAAAACAGAGACACTCTACCTGCTGATGTGGTTGTAGTCCTGAGAACGTCAGAAAACAAGCTTCTTCAGCAACTCTTCTCAATTCCTTTGACCAAAACAGGTACTTGGAGCCCCCCACATCCTTGGGCCTGATGCTTCTACAAGCACCGCTGGAGTTTTCTTGTTAGTGTCCAGATACTACTGGGGCCCCACTATCACTTTAAGCAGGGGTAAAGGTTTGTTCAGCTAAATTCAAGAAGATTGTTTCTTTTTCAGTTTAGTTGCACAGCATCAGTGTATATATACTGCGTACATGTACAAATACTTTTTATAACACTAACTCTTAGACTCCTCATTTCTCTGCCTGACACTTTTCATTCTTTGATTTATAAAACCATATGTCATCACAAATTCATGCTAAGCACTCCAAGGTAGTCTCAGTTTACCTAGATTTATTGGGAAGATTATTTCTGTTCATGTATGATCCTAAGTGAAGGGAATGTGGTAAATCCAAAGGTCATCTAGTCATGGGGTCCTAAGAGGTCACCTGGTCCAACTCACCAGCCTCATGGTACTCTCCTACCCAACTTAGAATAGGTCCATCACTGGCTTACATGCCCGGCCTTTGCCCACTTAGAGTCAGCTTCTTTTTTTTTTTTTTTTTTTAATTTTTTTTTTTAATGTTTTTTATTTATTTCTAGGAGAGAGAGAGAGAGACAGCGTGAGCANTTTTTTTTTAATGTTTTTTATTTATTTCTAGGAGAGAGAGAGAGAGACAGCGTGAGCAGAGGAGGGTCAGAGAGAGAGGGAGTCACAGACTGAAATAGGCTCCAGGCTCCGAGCTGGCAGTCAGCACAGGGCCCGACGCGGGGCTCGAATCCGCGAACCGCGAGATCATGACCTAAGCGAAAGTCGGACGCTTAACCGACTAAGCCACCCAGGCGCCCCTAGAGTCAGCTTCTACCTAATGGCTTCTGTTGAGTTGCACAATCAGTTCTTGTGCTCTTGTGACAGGAAGCAGGAAACGAGGGCCGAAGAACGGAACTTCAATGTCGTTGCTTTTTTGCCAAATAGGTTCCAATTGGGTCAAGTTCCTTTGATTTACCTGGGAGCTGTCGCCTTTGGCTGGGGAGCAGACTAGGTCTTCTCAAAACTTTCCTCTCAAGGGCATTATGTTTCTGAGGGTATGTCTGGAAACAGTGGCAAGTATGCTTTTATGAAAGGAGGAGAAGCTTCTTTGTCATTGTTCATAATTTCTTTATCTTTCTTCCCACATCCCTCTTGAAATCATTGGCACCCAAGTCTAGTTTGGGGCCTTTCTATGCTAGAAGAGAGTGGCTGCCGGGTCTGATTTTCAGCAACATGCAGAGGAATGAAAAGCTTGGCTAAGAAAAAAGCCACAGTCTTCAACCTTTGCTTCATCTTAACTTGGAAAGAAAGTTGAGACCTGCTCTTAACTTTCATTGAAAAACACTCCTTTAAACAAAGATAGTAGGAAGCCGTGAGAACACTGCCCTCCAGCTTTCTTTCCAGACCTCCCTTGGGCAGAGCTGGGATTTGATTCATTATCTCCTTATGAAGATATCTACCCTCAAAACTTGGTTCTAAAGAGACTGTTCATCCTACATTGATGGTCAGGATATTAATCAAGCTTCTAAATTTTAAAATGTCTATATTCTGTATTTTTTGGTTTTAATGTATTACTGCCTTTGAAGGTGGGAAAGTTTTACTGGACAGCAATAGTTGTGTTGTTTTTGCCGGAATAGTAAATATTGGTTTCAGAGTGACCAAATGTGAACAGGGCTGGCACTTCCTTACCAGACACTTCAGTCTTATCAGGCAACTTATGTGAAGGGGCAAAGATACGGCCATTATTAATACCCTTGATATGTACTCTTTGAAATGAAATTTATCTAAATGACTTTTCAGTTGGCATTTATGCTCTCATAAATATAAGTAATGATTTGTCAGCCTGGGCCACTAGGTGGTGCTATGCAAGAAGTCAGGCTCTGCAGAAGCCTTCTGTTTGCCCTTGATCGCCTACACCAGGGAAGGAACAGGAACAAAGAGATAGCCTCTGCTTTTTTTTTTTTTTTTTGCTTTTTGCTTTTCTCTGAAAGAGTTTTCCTCTTATCTTGTAACTCTTTCTGAATCTTGCCTTCAAACTGCAGTCCACACATTCTGGAGGAAACAGAAGTGAAAAAGAAGACTAGAAACGTGTTTTCCTAACAAGCTTCCTGTATCCCAGAGTCCTATATCTTGCATAATAATTTCTTTTGAAATCCTAAGCTGTATTTTCTCCACATTTTGAGTATAATTAAGAAGCTACAAAAACACATCAAAATTAATAAGCACGATTCTATTTTCTTTTTCTGAAATTGTTCATATAACAATGGCTTCAGTCAACATTTATAGAACAGCTTCTAATAATAAGGCACCATTTAGGCAGCAAGGGGAATATAAAGATAAAATTACTTTGCTCTAAAGCAACTGAAACTTACTTTTACCTTCACTTTCTTTCTAGAATTGGTTTCCTTATGATGATATTTGCCCTCAAACATCATTTCTAAAGAGACTGTGCATCTGATGCTGAAGGTCAGAATATTTATTAAGATTCTAAATTTCAAAGCAAACATAGTCTATAATTTTTGGTTTTAGTCTATTATAGCCTTTGAAGGTGGGAAAACCTTACTGGACAGAAATAGTTCATGCTGTTTTTACTGAAATTGCAAATACTTGTTTCAGCATGTGCCCCTTATGTGAAAGCAGATTTGGTTGTAGGTCTTGGCATTCTGGCTGGAAGCAAGGTCCCACACAGCCTAGCATTTTGAAAAAGAATGTGCTGATATTTTCAGTGCATGAGAAACCATTTTCTTGGTTGTTTTTATTTTTAAATAAAATAAAAACTGCTTCAAACCCTTAATCCTTATTGGATTAAAATGAAATGGGTCACTAGTTCAGTGAGCATAGCTATTATGGGAAGTTACTTTACAAACTTCTTTTAGGAGATGAACTGCAGAGAGGAAGGAGAAAAGTCAAAGTTGGGAAGCTTTGGAGGCTGTTAGCCCCAGACTTTAAAAAGAGGTTCAGTGTTGGACTCCGGTTTCGAGAGAAGAGATCGTTAAAGGATGTTGCAGGTGCTCTGACTCTTGGTCTTGGTGGTGGTTACACGTATGTTTGCTTTATAATCTGTTATGCTAGACATGTGTTTTGCATACTTTTCTGTACATTCTATTGCACAATAGCACTTGTGTTTTCCAAAAGATAGAGAAGACATCTCAAAACGCAAAGAAAATCTTTCATTTCTTTATCTAAGAGTTCCTATTCACTTAATTTGGAGTCTCCTGATAGCCAGACTGCTGCTGCCCTCTGCTTTCAAATGAAGGCATCAGGGAGTTTCAGGCTGACATTCCTGTCCCCTTAAGTCAGCCTCCTCTCTGGGCTGCGGGGCAGGTAACAATCCCTTCATTAGTGGATATAAGACAGAAGTACTGGTTCTCGATCTAATCTCTTACCAAGGTTGAGAGGATTAACCTCAGTGTGTCTTTGTGTCAGAGTAATATAAAATCAGAGAAAGTGATCCAGTTGACATTTTCCTGTTTCCTGTACCTAACTTCCCATTCATGTCGTACGTCCCAAAGTACTGAAGAGGTTAAAAAAACAAAAACAAAAACATGGGGTGTGAAGTCATGAGGTGCAAGGTCATCAGGAGACAGGGCTCCTCCCAAGTTTCTGTAGCCCCCTTACCAGCATCCCCTTCTGGCACACAGCTGCATCTGGTGAGAGAGGTGCCTGTGCCTAATGGACACACTCCCATTCCAAGGCAGTCCATGGTGATGAGGCAGACAGAGGCAGCTGCAGACAACATGGATTCTCAGACTTACGGGACCGCTCTCTTGCCTGTACGTGGGCCACTTCAAACGTGGTGGAATTTTCTTTGTAATCCTTCCTTTCAATAGGAAGTTCTCTGAAGATTTCACATGTAAAAATTTGATGTGGCAGCAACATTGCTTTCTAACCCCTTAGCTGGGACTTTTCAAACTGAATGATCCAGGTAGAAAAACATTAAAAGGAAAGATGTTATAACAAAGTCTCATTGCATATTTTCTTGTTTGGGAAACGTTCCACTTGCTACTAATAAACTAGAGAAAAGTTCAGAAGGCTCAATGGAAGAAAGAAAAGAGGAAGTTTCAAAAGGAACGTGAAAAGTCCATTTCTGTCTTTGAATTGTGAAGTCTGACTTCCAAAAAGGAGTTGGGGGTTTTAAAGGAGTTAGGAACTGTAGAGAAAATAGAAAAGCAAAAGTAGTGCCAAAGGGAATATTCTCTGAACCTCAAAGTCTAGTTTTGCTTCAGAATCTAGAACTGAGTTTGGGTCTGTTTTCTCCTGTCCAAGCGCCCCAGGTATTTCCCTTGGAATTAGATTTGAGTTGAAAATCAACAGTAAAGTCTCTTTATCTTGATTTCCATTGGTTCCTCCTTTTATTTGGATGGGGGTGGGTGGGCAAGATGAGCTCCCACATTATATCTGCAGAGAACTCTAACACCATCACTGCTGAAATACTTGCTTGTTCCTGATTCTGTAACTCCCCAATTTGAGCATTCAGCTCTTAAGAGGATGCCTTTTGGTAACTGTCTCTCGGAATTTTCATTTCTCACTTCCATGCTGGTTTCTCCTCCATGCTGGCAGTTCAGAAAATGGGTCTAGCAGGATGAGCTAGACTCCAAATGACAAGGTTCCAGGGTCATAGATGTGGGCAGTGCTTGCCTCCTTCTGACACAGCAGCTCTAATGAGCCAACCCTCTCAGGAAGCCCTGAGGGCTGAGTTCTTCCTCACACAGAGGCCTGCTTCTTTCTGTTTAAAGAATGTATTTCAGTCAGTGGATAATTATATATTTAGCGTCTCTCTAGATAATGGTGTTATATATAGGTGCTTTCTAGAAGGCATAAAAGAAAATCCCAGCCCAAATAGTCAGGGACAGATAGTGCACATCCTAAAATGTGTAAAGGATGCACAAAGGAAATGTAAATTATGAATTTGTATGTAAACCAATACATGGGGACAATATAAGCACTGTGTCTATACAAGTAAAAATAGAAGGAAAAATCATGGAAATATCATGTGTGATATGAGGTAAAACTTCTTTTAACTACAAAGACTTCTTGGAAGAGTGTTTGTTTGTTTTGTTTGTTCATTTTAATGGAGAGTAGAGAAAATTGAGCAGTCTGGGAGTAAAGAGGCATGCTTAGCCAGGGTCTACAGCACTGGAAAGGAGAGGTGAGCAGCGGGATGATTAAGTGAATAGGACGTGAGGAAAGGACTCAGGGCAGAGGGAGGGAAACAAGATGGAGAAGTGATGGCAGTGTACTGAGTCAAGAGTCGGCTTCTGATGCCAGTCTGAAACACTGTGGGTGGTCAAGGTGGGCTCCTAAAGAGAACGGTTTCAGGGTGACAAAGGAAAATTTATGCAAGGATGTTAAAGACTGAGTAGGGAGAACCAGGGTGCTCCCATGTGTCTATGTGGAGCTGTGTGTGAGTAGATGCTCAATAAATGCTTCTACATTCTCCATTTTTTAAAAGTTTATTTATTTGTTTGGGGAGAGAGAGAGAGAGAGTGCATGAGAGAGAGGGAGAGAGAGAATCTCAGGCAGGCTCTGCTTTGTCATCACCGAGCTTGACGTGGGGCTCGAACCCACAAAACACAAAACTGAGATCATGACCTGAGCTGAAGTTGGATGCTTAGTCAACTGAGCTCCCCAGGTGCCTCTACATTCTGCATTAAGAGCCAGCATCGATTTAGAGTTAATTTATGGTGAGCTCTGTGGTTGAGGTTCATTTTATTTTTCTGTAAGTATGTCCAGTTCCAAAACTTTTGAAATGACTGTCCTTTCTCCATTGCATTGCTTTAGCGTTTGTCAAAAATTAATGGTTATATTTGTGTGGGTCTGTTTCATGGATCTGTATATGGAATTCTTCAACACTACACTGTCTTTACTATTGTAGCTTTATAATAAATCTTTAAACAGATAGCAGAGTTCATCCAACTTTATTCTTATTTTTTTAATGTTTATTTATTTTTGAGAGACAGAGCATGAGTGGGGGAGGGCCAGAGAAAGAAGGAGACACAGAATCTGAAGCAGGCACCAGGCTCTGAGCTGTCAGCACAGAGCCCGACGTGGGGCTCGAACCCACGAACTGTGAGATCATGACCTGAGCCTACGTCAGATGCTTAACTGACTGAGCCACCCAAACATCCCAGTCTTTTTCAAATTGTTTTGGCTATTTCAGTTCCTTTGCCTTTCTTTATAAAAGGTAAAAGTAAATTGTCTGTATCTGTACAAAATCCTGCTACAATTTTGATTGGAGTTGCATGAAATCTACAGATCAGTTCGGGAAGAATTGGCATCTTTGTTGAGTCTTTCAATCCACAAACACAGTATGACTACTTATTAGATCTTATTTTATTTATTTCATCATTACAGTTGATGTTACAAACAACACAGGTTTGAACTGTACAGGTTCAGTTGTGTGTAGATTTTTTTTCAATAAAAATAGTACAGTACTGTAAGTGTATTTTCTCTTCCTTATAATTTTCTTAGTAACATTTTCTTTAGTTTACTTTATTGTAAGGATACAGTATACAACATATGTAACATACACAAGATGTGTTAATCAACCATTTATATTTATTCAATAAGGTTTCCAGTTAACAGTAGCCTATTAGTAGGTAAGTTTTGGGGGAACCAAAAGTTACATATGGATTTTTGACTGTGTAGGGGGTTGGCGCTCCAGCCGCTGTGTTGTTCAAAAGTCAGCTGTGTTTTGTTTCAGCATACGGATCCTGTACATGTTTTTGATAGATTTATTACCTAAGTATTTCAGGTTTTGGAGCTAGTATACTTTTTTTGCTTGTGTGTTTCCAGTGGTTCAGCTAGTGTGCAGAAATATCATTGATTTTTGTGGATTGACCTCGCCCACACACTTGCTAAATTCACTTGTTAGGCCTAGGAGTTTTGTTTTTTTAGATTCCTAGGGATTTTCTACATAGACAGTCATGTTGTCTATAAATAGGAATGTGTATTTTTCTTTCCATTCTTGCACCTTTATTTCTCTTTCTTGCTTTATTTCACTATATATCTAGTACAATGTTGAATAGAAGTGATCTTGTTCTGGCCTTGTTCCTGATCTTGGGGGGAAGCATTGTGTCTTACACAATGTTTTATGTAGGACATCTTGTACTTGTTATTCCCTCTATCTGGAATGTTTTCCTCCAAGACCGATGGCTAGCTTCATCAATTTCTGTAGATATTTTATCAAAATCTGCTTTTCCTGTTAAAATTTTAATAGCCTCAATATTTTATATCCCCATTTCCTGTTTTATTCTTCTCCTTGGCACCTGTCACTGCCTTTTATAGCATATACACTTGACTTCTTTATCTTATTTGTCTGCCTTCCTCCACTATAATGTAAGTTCCAAGATCACAGGGATTTCTGTCTGGTTTGTCCATTACTATATCCTCCCTGACGTATAATGGCCACTCAGTATATGTTTGGTGAATAAATAGATGAATGAACCAAAT